CCTACACGCCCGATGGATACGTGGATCTATGGGCAGCGAAAGCCTACGCTTCCCGTCAGGATGCAAAGTCCTGTCCCGCTTCCCTGGTCACTGGAGAGCCTGTTGTGAAGGTGAGTGGAGGCATGGCCAAAAAATTGCAGACTTTTCTAGCAAAGCCCATGCAGTAAAGCTGGGGCAGTCACTGCTGCAAGAGTGCACTGAGGCAAAACCGAAGTCTTCAGAGCAGCTCTGGAAGTGGTTCATTGATCGCTATATTCCCATGCAGGGAACCAGTAGAAGACCTGGACATTTATCACCCCCCTCTTTCAGTAGTCCCTAAGCCCAGGAACTGTAGTGTATGGAGGGGGGTTTCATCAAGGCAGGGAGCACCTCCCTTGACCATGCAGTTTGCTAAACAGTGACCACCCCCATCCCACCAGCTAAATGCACAACTTTGAGCATGTGAGTAGTCCCACTGTTGGTTTAAAAAAAAGCCTGTAATTTTAATTCCTTATAAGGTCAGGGCCTGAAAGGATACAATCATGCATACATCAGCATCTGTGCTGCTCTCAAACTCTCTGATCTGAAGCCAAGGAAAAATTGATGGGAAAATTCCCATCTTTCATATGGGCTTTGGAGCAGGGCCTGGAGATCCAGGACAGAATTTCGCCTGATCGGTGTTAACATGGTGTGCGTATGTTCTTTCCTAGCAAGCTGAAGAAGGGCAAGAAATATGTAGAGAGGTCATACTTAGCCCTTTATACATGAATTTCTATTGACCTGATATAAGGAACAATCTTCTTGACACCTACAGCATGATTAAATTGCCCAGATGTACATGTCTAATGAGGTGCCTTGGACTCGGGTGTCTGCTTCACTAGAATGACACACATATCTCCCAGGCTTTGTCTGCCAGGCCTGTGGGGATGTCTGGGGTAGTATCGGGCATTGAATGGCACAGAAGACTGGTGTTCAGGCAAATGAATGACACCTTTAGATCTCATCAGCCCAGCCACAATCAGGAGGCTGTTGTCTTACCTACCACCTCACAGCTTGGCTCATTATTTCTTACTCGGCCCCACAGACACCATGGGGTGCTTAAACAGCATATTTACAGCACTTCAAAATAGCAAGAGCCTTCTGTGCACATGTGTGGGTGGTGAGATGTCAATCCTGCTTAGGAACCCAAATCCTAATTGCCTTCATGCTAGGAACCAACTTGGGATCCTTCTCAACGTTTGAGTCTTCCTTGAAGTTTTGTACATGCTGTTTTTTTCTCTCACTTCCCTTGCTTCTTTCTGGGTTAAATAAATCTGAAATTTCAGGTATGTAAATCCCACCTTCATGATGTGCCAAAGGACCTTTCCCTGGCTGCTTGGTTCCCCTGTACTCCCAGCCAAGACAATGCTCAGGATCCCAACGAGGAGAGGATGCCCCTGGGTAATGAGGGACTTTGGCTCAAGGTAAGTGAGGATGTGTAGTCAGGCACAGAAGGATTTGCTTGTCTTTGCCCCAGCACTTTGGTGACAAAGACCCATCCTTTTCTGTCCTGTAGGAGTTACAGCAATCTTAAAAACTGCTCAGATAGGACTTCATATCCTCCTGAACTCTTTGCAAGCCCCAGATGCCTGTGGCTGGGTTTTATGTAGTTGCCCCATTCCCATTGTGAGCCGCAAACCCAACCTGGGGGGCAGATTGCCAGGAGAAGGGCTGTGCCCGAAACCAGAAGCCCACAGAAATGTGTTGAGGCTGAGAAACAACTTGCTCCTGACTATTCCCTGCAGTCAAGCTGTGCTGTTACACCCGCAAAGGGTGGGCACAAGCTGTGTTTAAAGTCCTAGTTGCCTTCGCTCCCCATGGCTCTGAAGAGCAACAGAGACCAGTTGCATCTCTGCCATCCTGAGGGGTCCTGAGCACCCCAGCACCCTGAGCTCACAGCAATCATCTGTGGCATGCAGGTCCTCCTGCCCCCCCAGTGACTCCAGACCAAAGGAGGCACTTCTGTGCCCAAGATGCTGGCCCTGCAGCCCAGTGGGGTTCGGGGGCTGCCTCCACGGCTGGGGCCTGCCTTTGACCCTCCAGGTGCCCTCCCAAACCTCTCTGTCCTGGCAGGCAGAGGAGCAGGGCAGAGGAGCGCTGAGGGTTAGGCCAATGTGATTTTTACAGTGTTGACTTTCTGACCACAGACAGAGTTTAGAGGTTTCGTGGCTGTTGCCTGGTGTTACTGGAAAGCTGGGCTCTGGCATGCTGCTTGCTCTGCAGTTTGAGGGACACCTTGCCCTGCTTTGCTTGAGGTTGTCTGGAGAGGACCTCTTCCCAAGATGCTCAGACGACTTGGTGAATTACCAAACCTGAGTCAATAAACATGGCTATTGCCTCTGAGGCCCTCTGTCTCTCCAAAGAACAGGGTTTTTTTTTTTCTTTTTTTTTCCTTTTTCTTGTCTGTGTGCTCACAACCTACTTCCCGGCCTCGGTCTCTGGCCATGACAAATGTGCCTCCTTTCTTCATTTGCTAGCAAGAAAGCAGCAATCTCCCCTTCTGCCCTACCTAGATGAAAGCTTGCTTTCCACTTCTCACCGGGGGTTAAAGCGTGTTCCAGTTTTATTGGAGCTTGTGGTCAGTTCTCTTCCTCTATGGATGTTTATATTAAAGACTTTCATTACTGGTTCTCTGTGCTCTCTCTAGGAGTGCTATTATTTTCCACCCATAAAATTATTTATGGACTAGTAATAAATATGCCCTGTTTTCTTTTTTCCCTTTTTTTTTTTTATAGTTTGCCTGATTGGTAACATATTGGGTTAGGAAAGACAGCTTCTTGTTGACAATTTGCCTAGCACAGCCGCCTGCCTGGGCAGGAGCGGTGCTGTTCATGCACATGGGTACCCACGTGTGCACGGTGTTCCGTGGCCACCGGCTCCCATGGCCATTTTAAAGCTGTTGCACCTGTGTCACCCGGGTTAGAGCCACACCACGAAACTCGTCGGGTGTTAGGAATCGGTTCCTACAGTGTTTCTCAAGAGGTGGCACCAACGAACAAGGGAAAAGTTGGGTCATGCTGTAAGTGGTTTGGGGGGCAAGAGGTGTGTGCCACCTAATGAAGCACCTACCATGCACCTTGCCTCTCTCTGCAGGTGGGAATCATTATGATTTGCAGATCTCTGCCCATGCTTTGTTCTCGGTTCCTAATGTATCTGAGGAGGAGAGAAATCAAAATTACTTCTAAGCAAGTCAGGAAATTAAACAGAAAGGGGGAGAGGGGAGGGAGAAAAATTAAGAGGAGAGCCTGCTGCGGCCAAGTACATAATATGTATTAAAAAGGAAAAAAATAATTGCGATGTTAGTCAAGTCAGCTGCTGTTGGTCTAGCTTGGGGCTGGTGTCCTTGGGAAAGACTAAACCCTCCACCTTAAGCTGTGTAGCTCAGGGAAAACCTCACCTGACTTTTCCAACCATCTCTCCTCCTCTGAGGAACCATGCTTGGAGGAAGAGGCAGCAGGTGGCCAGGTTAGAATCGGTCCGTTCCTTGGGGATTCTCAGCTGCAGCTCTGCCCTGGGGGGCTCCTCGGAGCAGGCTGTGAGCCCTTCTTCATCTTCTCTTCTTGCTTTCCTTTCCTCCCTTCTTGCCTTCCTGTTTCCTTTCCTTTCTCCTCCTACTTTCCTCACCAAGGGAGACAATGGGGATATACCACATAAAAATGTTTGAGCTTCCTGGTCCACTCCTTGCAGCCAGGCCAGCCCTGCATGAGAGCGAGCCCTGGCCAAGGGAACATGTAGGTGGTCGGTGGGGACTCACTCGTGGGGTGTTTGCTGCCGAGCACCTCCCTGCAGGGTGGGAGCCCTGGGGTGAAGCCCAAGGTTTTCTCTTGCTCCTGTGCATGAGCAATGCCTGATGTGGCATGGACCACGCCGAGGCTGGGCTGCCATCACAAATCGGGTGGTTGTCCCCTCCACTCCTGCAGTCTCCTGGGCTATGCCCGGCCAGCCAGGACTTGTCCTCCTCTAAAATACACCTTCGCCTTGAATTTCTGGGCTTCCTCCACGCTGGTATTCAACGAAAACACTTCAAAGGGTGGATCTTGATCAAAACATATCTCAGCACTGGGTGGGGGGTACCAGGGTGGGGGAGAAAAACATTTCTATCCTCTTACTCCCAAAGAACATTCGCCCTGCCATGATTGATGCCGCAAGTTTCCCAGCTGCCTCCTGTAGCCTTCGGGGCTGTAGACAAGTGGGGAGCTGTCGGGTCTCCTAGCAGGCAGGACTTCTTCCCACAAATCTTTCCACATGTTGGCTGACGGACAGTTTGCAGTCACTCTGGGTATCAGGGCTGTTCTTCATTTGTGTGGTGTTTGGTTGTGGGTTTTTTTTTTATTTAATGGAAATATTTTGATGGCAGGGCTGGTAGCTCTACCTTCCTTGCCTGATTGTGCGGGATGGGAGTTAGAACCTGGGGAAGGGAGGGTGGAAAAGGGGTTATTCAGGTCTTGGTCGGATGTTGCTTAATTTTAAGAGCAGCAAATGTGGAAGCTGGGAAGATGCTGTAAATTTATGGCAAGGCAGGACTGATACATATGGGGGAAGACTAGTGAAAGGGAGAAGGGGGATTAGGAAGGCAGAGACTGTGTTCCTGCACCCTTCCTTCCCTCCTCTCTCTCTCTTCCCACCCATTTGCTGCGCTGCACATCTGCAGTCTCTGACCCTCTAACCCTGCTCCTGCTCTCCCCCACAATCCCTCTTCCTCTTGCATATACGGGATCAGAAAGGCTGTATTCGGTATACACATTCTCAGGGTCTTGCTCCCCCCCTTCCCAGGTGTGCTTTGAGAGACCCGTGGTGCCCACCTCCCTCCTGATCTTCCTGGCCTCTGATGGCACCGTCCCAAGCAACCAGCGCAAGCCACGGGTGACTGTCCAGCTGAGCGATGTAGATGGGCTGAACCACTCGTTGGGTGAGCATCCGATGGGCTGTGGCACCAGTCTGTGCTGTCCTAGCAGGTACACCAGAGGCCCCGCCATTGCTGCCATCGCTCACCAAGTTGGGTGCTGGTGTCCCCTGTCCCTCCTTGCAGCACCTTCTGCTTCCCAAGCTGGTCTGTTGGGGTGTGGCGGGGAGCAGAAGAGGTAAATCAAAAGCAGAGAAAACATCTCTGGAGCTGAGCTAGTGGCTTCTTTTTCTGCCCCATCTCACAGGGATGTATGAGCTGTCATGCCAGCACAACCCACTTGTCATCAACGTGACCCACAGCCGGGAGGATCCACCCCACTGGGCTGCTTCAGCGCTGCTCAACTTCTCCTCCCCACTCGTGGGCATCGCGGCTGTGGCCTTGCGGACGTCAGCTCGGCCTGGCTCCGGCCCCACCACCTGCCTCCTACAAGACGAGGAGGGACATGGCCACCAGCCCTACAGGTACCGTCTCCTCGGGGCACTTCCCGACAGGCACCCGGAGCCCCCCTCTCCTCTGTGGCTCTGTTCTTCGGTTCTGGAGGTTTTCTCTACTCGCCGAGTTGTTTCATGACTGTTCTCGGGGGGCTTCTGAGGCGCTGATGGAGAATCTGGTATAAGGAGACTCGATCCGCGTACCTTGCTGCGGGGGGAAGGTGGGAAAACGGGTTTTGTGCGTGGCCCGTGCATCCGCACAAAGCTGCGTTGAGGCGCGTGAGAGACCCGAGCCCCCTCGCTGAGGGTCGCTGCTGAAGCTGAAATATAGGCACGTGCTTTACGAGCTCAGTCTCCCTCCATCCCAGCCTTCCCCACGCTGAGGGAAGCTCTCGCCCTCCTCCTCCTCCTCTTCCTCCTCCTCCTCTCTGTGCTGCTCCCCCTCCCTCCCGGGCTCCTCGCCACATCTCGCGTGTTATTTCGTAACGCAGCGATAACAACAATAGTAGCACCAGCACCTTCATTTATCGCTGTCCGGCCCCCGCGGGCCTCCGCCTGCCTTCGTAAAGCCACGAAGGGGAGGCGGCGTTGGCGGGACGGGGGCCGGGCCCCGAGGGGGGC